AGAGAACTTGTAAATCAGCATTTGCAGCAATAAGATAAACTAGGGGATAGGTGAGCAAAATCTACAGGTAAAGCGTTGGATGAATCGCAGTAGATCTACAAGAGGTTGGGACTGTCAGTTTTAAAAAATTAAGGGAGGTGTTTAAGTTGGGTTGTCTGAATTCCACATAATAATTAACTCAGATTTATCCTTGTATATATAGTCATCTCAGAGTATGTCTACTATAGTGTAGTCAGTTCTCAGATTCTTGCAAGAGGGCTCTCCGAGTTGCCCTCAACCCCTTTAAGCTTAGAAAGGTACTAGGGTGCCATGAGTGTCTAAAATGAAAGGTGGGATAAAAGAGTAGATATTTGGAAGTTGTGGATTTATACCTCTACCCCTTATCTAGGCACTTGACCCAGTAGGCAATATACTTAATATCTTACCTAGAGAATAGGCCCCAAGGGGCATGCAGCTGCTCATACCTTTCTATTTTACTCCCAAATCTAGTTGGTTGATGTCATAACCCTAATTTTTAAAAATTACAATTACAGTCTATTCCATAAACATAAGATCTGTCCATACCTGAACTAGGAGGAGCATCAGACCCAGTAGAAAAGAGTTCCTTATCATAGCATTTTTAACAAATACATCCTTAATTTTAACATAATACCCTTATGGGAAAAGCAGTATGTGCTGGAACGTTTCAGAACGAGGATCAATTGCTTTCTTGGAAGACAGGAAATTGCAGAAGAGAGCATTTTCTCCCATAATCAGGATATCTACTTTTTATGTTCAAAGACAACAGGTAGAAAGCGCATAAATACAACCCACCAGTACCAAAGGACACACCGAGAGAATGACTTTTTACATTCTCACACCTTCATGCCATCCCTTTTGTGTGTTTACCCCTGCAAAGCCAAATCTCTATTTTCCAGCCTCCAGCAAGCAGACACACAGAGAAAACAGCTTCTCTGTTATCAACAGGCCATAAACAGTGAAGCCATCATTACTTTCCCTTCTTGCCATTCCTGTTCTCAGCTACCTGCCCCTGTAAAAGTTTCCCTCCCTGAAACCTAAAAGGAGGCAATCATTGATCAACACAGTGAAACATTAATACTCCTCAACATCACATAAAAGCTCCAGAAGAAAGGAAGCTGGATGGCTCAACTCCCAAGTTTATTTTATCCGTTCTTCACCCGCCTTTTAATATCTCTTACCTGCATGAACAGGTAGAAGTCTCTTTATATTCCCCTCCCACCCTCTCTTTCTTATTGCCTGATGGGAAATGTAGTTCCACAAGTTCAACGTCTTCCTGTCTCCTGCTTGTCAAACCAATGTTAACTCAACCTTGCTTCACTGCATAGTTAGAAAAAGCACTAAGCACCAGAGGTTAAACCACTTCCTAACTAGGATCGTTTTCTATTTCTGTAAAGGAAGTCTTGTATACAAGACACATGTTCCTAGAAAGAGCCACATTGTCAGAACAAAACTTAGCACAATCCGTTGTTTGTCTACTCCGGAGGAAGCTTCATGGAGTTCAATGGAGTTTATTCTCTTGCCCAACTAACTACACCGAACTGTAGCTGTAAAATGATCAACGCTTATCTATGAGAAAGAACATTGAACTCTATAGGCCTTCCTGCTAAGTAGGCACAAAAAAGGCTAGGATAACACAACAATTCAGCTGTCTTTTACTTACTTACTTTTTAGTAAAATAATTTTTGATTCTGCTCTTTCAATTTGAAATCGCAATGTTAACAAACATTTTTAAAAATATAAACAATTAAAATTATATAAACACTCTAGATAATTCAAAATTAATAACTAATTTGTACAAGAGGAAAAAATACTAAACAATTCAAGTTAAAAAGAGCATTCTCTCTAATCTGGAAGCACTCATTGTGGGAAATAGGAGATATTTAACTGAAGCTGCATTTTAGTTCTTGAGGTTCGTACTCTTATCTTAGCTATGGGACTTATGCAGCAGAAATGGGCATTTCTCACCATTGGCTATGTTAGCAAGAGTTGATTTGGGCTTCAGTCCAACATTAACTACAGGAGCACACTTTCCCCACCCTTACAACAAATAACACTGTAGGGGAGTTCAAGAAACATTGGAAGTCAAGAGAAGTAAAGAAAGGAAGCAAGGAAGATAGGTATGGGTCTCTACAAACTTCTCAACCTCCTTGTTATTTACCAATGTAAGCCCTAAATAAACTTGGCCCTCCATATACACGGATATATTTCATCCACAGATTCAAGCATCCATGGATTGAAAATATACCAAAAAATATAAATTCCCAAAAGCAAACCTTGATTTTGTCATTTTATATAAGGGACACCATTTTACTATGCCATTGTATTTAATGGGACTTGAGCATCCATGGATTTTGGTATCCACAGGGGAACCTGGAAACAACCCCCAACGGACACCAAGGGCCCACTGTATGTATATTTATTCAGAAGTCCCATTGAAGTCAGTAGGATATGCGTCCCTGACACAACTTTACTTTAGTAAGAGATGCTGCTTGGCTTATAAGGGCAATTTACTAATTTTAATTGTATGTGCTTGAGAATGAAATTGAAGGAGAACTTTTACAAACAAGAAGCTTTCTCCCATGAACGGCTCTAAGAATCCCTTTTATATAACAGCCAAGTGACTCAATAAAAAAAAAAAAAAGAAATCTCCAAACTGCAGGAAAGAAAGAAGAGAAGCAAGTTGTTAAACAATTCTTAACTTTCTATAGATTTCAGGAGAGAACCATTGTTCAAGTCTAGCAGCAAAAACCATTCATTAGCCCCTTTCACCTTCTTTCCATGTTGTCTGGGTTTTCACATTCAGGATTGTGTGGTTATGGCTGGCTCCTAGTAGGGTTTCAGTTTTTTAAAATGGTCTGGACTCTGGAGGTCTACTCCTTTACATAATCAGAAAATCACCAGGTGTAGTATGCTCACTATTAATTCTCAACACTAGGAAAGATTTCACCTGTTGGTTTTCTTCTGGCACACAGCTGTTAAAGCAACAGCACAAGAAATGTGCCAACCATAAAAAATAGCAACTAGTTTTGAATAAATCGATAGGGTATGTGTTTACAAGTCTTATTCTGACAGTAGAGCAGTATGCTATAGGACAGGGGTAGGCAACCTTTTTGAGCTGGGGGCCGGGTCGCTGTCCCTCAGACTATTGGAGGGCCAAAGTAATAAATAAATAAATAAATAAATTTAAAAATTTTTAAAAATAATTCCTACATACACTGCACACATATTTTGAAGTAAAAAATAGAAATAATATAAATGTTTGCCAAAAAAACACCAAGAAAAAATCATCATCATCATCATCATCATCAACAACAACAACAACTAAAAATGCTACCTTAAATGAAACAAACAAGTGCAGGGGTGGCATGAATGAATCAAGTGACTGAGGCTGGAGTCTGCAGAGCTGGCCTCGAATCCCTGCTTGGCTATGCAAACCCACTTTGGCCAAATCACACTCTCTCAGCCACAGAGTAAGGCTATGGCACACCCACTCTGAAGGAATTTTGCCTAGAAAACTCCAAGAAAACAGAAACCCTCCCAAACAACCTCTGTCCTTGTGGCTGGGGGGTCTGGATTGCATGCGCACTCTCTCCTCCCTCGCACTTTGCCCAAGTCACACTCTCTCAGCTACAGAGTAAGGCTATGGCACACCCACTCTGAAGAAATTTTGCCCAGAAAACCCCAAGAAATAATAATAATCATTATCATCATGATCATAATGGAAACGACTAGAAGCCCAGAGCAGCCCTCCTTGGTGGCATGTGGGGCGGCTAGGGGCCTTCCTTGGGCCCCGTGCCTTTCCTGAAGCCCCGCACACCACCAAGGAGGGCTGCAGGAAAGGCCCAGAGCAGCCCTCCTTGGCGGCGTGCGGGGTGGGGTGCCATTTTGGCAGCCGTGAGGGTTCCCCAGGAGGGTTCCCTTGACTGCGCCAGGCCTTGGAGAAGCCCAGCACGGCCGCGGGGATCCTCCAGGAGGGCTCCCTCGACCGCACTGGGCCTCAGAGATGGCGCCCTGGTGGACCCCTGCAGCTGCGAAAGGCGGCGGCACGGCCGTGGCAGCGGCGGCAGGACCAGGCAGGGGCTGGTCCGAAGGCCTCCGCGGGCCGCACCCGGCCCGTGGGCCTTAGGTTGACGACCCCTGATATAGGATCTGTTGTTGTTAACTGTTTTCAAGTTGACCTCGACTCATCTTTTAACATTTCAATCTCTTTGCACTTTAGGATCTTGTCCAGTTCCTTCATGGCTGCCCTTCCCAGTCCTAGTCTTCTTCCGATTTCCTGACTGCCGTTACCACTCTGATCAATTATTGATCCAAAGTATGGGAAATCTTTAACATTTCAATCTCTTTGTCATCAGGACTGAATTTATGTAGATTTTCCAAGGTCATTATTTTTGTTGTCTTAAGGATTAAACATTAAGCCTGCCGTAGCACTTTCCTCTTTGGCTCTCTTTAGTAATTGTGCCAAGCCTTTTGTTATTTTCTGCTAGTAGTGTGGTGTCGTATGCATATCTTGGGCTGTTGATATTTCTTCCTCCGATCTTCAATCCTTCTTCCTCCAAGTCTAACCCTGCCTTGTATGTGATGTTTTCTGCATACAAGTTGAACAAGCAAGGTGACAGAATCCAACCTTGCCTTTGTTGATTGGGAAATACAAGAAGTTACTTAACAGGTAGAGTTATTCCCTTCCCTGCATCTCTGTATCAGGCAAAGCTAAACCTGCTGAACTTCTGCCTATTATACTATGTTAAATAAATTAATTAATAGAACTTTTATTTGTATCCCGCTTTTCTACTATAATAGCAATCAGTGCGGCTTACATGTTAAAACAAACCAATACAATACATAATAACAATACACAATCATATATCTTACCCCCCCCTTAAAAAAAAATTAAACTTAGCACAGTTTAAAAAAATTTAGTCTGTCAAAATTTAAATAAATAAAACTGGAGCCAGTGTGTGGAGCAGTTTGCTGATGAGGATTTTGGGGTGTAGTGGTTTGAGTGTTGGACTACGACTCTGGAGACCAGGGTTCGATTCCCTGCTCAGCCATAAAACTCACTGGGTGACCTTGGGCAAGTCACATACTCTCAGCCTCAGGGGAAGGCAATGGCAAGCCTCCTCTCAACAAATCTTGCCAAGAAAACCTTATCATCATAAATCAGAAATGACGTGAAGGCATGTAAGGTCCAGAACAACAACATTTTTTTATTTCTCTTTTTTCTTTTCTTTTTTAAGTATATGTAAACAGGGTGATGTTTACGATCAAATTTCCTGACTTGAGTAAGGTCCAAAACACACTGCAGAAATAATCCAGTTTGAGAC